ATGCTGGATCCAGGGAATTTTGTATTCCAGCCCTTCCTATGCTCTCCCAGTCCCGCGGTTAGAAGGAGAGGAGGTGTGGAGGGAAAGGGGATCGAAAAGGGAAGAAAATAGAGAGTGAATGCTAAGGGGAAAAATGCTTTAAATCTTTCCTGTAAATCTCCAAATATATGAAGTCTGAGGAACAAATTCAAAGCAGGCACGGCTGCCTGAAGAGAAGTTAGAGAGAAATATTCTGTTCCATTCAAGCGCATCAAGGGTCTCGCTGAAGTCTTGTTTGGCTAAGGTCAGACGAGACTGGGTTCTCCAATAAAAATAAATCTCAAATTAATTATGGCCTCAAGCGAGGGGCCAGACGTTCGGAGCTAGTGCACTGCAGTCTGTTTTTTTGGCCTTCAGTATTTTTGTTTTTTGTGCCTCAGCTTTTCAATAACTGCGGGATGGGGGAGGGAGGGCGGGGGCTGTTTTATTGGGACATGGAACTCAAATAAAAGCATCCAGGACACCCCTGGCTCGCCCCGCTCGCCTCTCATTGCCATGCAGCTTCAAAGCTCCTGCATCTTCTCCACCCCACTTTTAAGACATTATGTTTTACTTAGTACCGATTAGCGGGGAATAACTTCCCGGCTTCAGCTTCCAGATCTCCTGGGCTGTTCCTGTCGGGAGGAGGGGCCCGATCCTTCAGTTCTGATTTCCTCTCCCGATTCCCTTTTATTGCTGCAGCTGAAAAGCTGAGGTTTGCCCAATTAATTGGGTCTAAAATTGGGATTCGTTTCGGGGGATCAAATCCCAGGGCTGCAGTTTGGACTTTTTGCTAGTAAGAATGTGGGGTTAGAAAATAAACAAACACGTCGCGTTTTTCTTTCTGCAATGGGTCAGTGCCAGAGGAAAGTCAGAGCCGGGGATTTTAAACGTTCCATGGAGCTGGGGGAGAGTTTCCCTCCAGTGAAGGCTGGAGCGGGATAAACTCCGGCCCCCTGCAAGTCCAGAATGACGGGAATTGTGCCTACGTTCAGAGAGAACAGAACGCATGGCAGGCTGTCTGTATTATCAGCGGTACTATCAGATATATAGCACACACAGTGCACCCCGCGCGGGCTCTGTAAATACGCGTGGATGGAAAGCTCGTTTTACAAAGGGGACACTTGGTCTCATTCAGTGGGAAATGAGGCTCTTTCTGGCCACAAAGCCAGGGCATGATGTTGGTTTTTTTGAGCTCCTTTCCCCTATCCCCGCGTTAGTTCACAGTGACAGCTCCAGGCTGGGCTCAACGAGAGCTCAGCTGATGCTGTTGGGGTCAGAGAGGGTGACATAAGCCAATCTCCTCTCCCCTCCTCGGAAAATCAGATTCCCAACCTGCAATGGGGCTGGGGAAGGCTTTCATTGTGTTTGTTCCTAGGGAATAACCGGACGGTTTCAATTATTCAGCGGGGATGCCCGCTAATCCCGTGTGGGTAACAGACAGAAAATCCAAATCTTAGGGGTTCTGCGTGGGACTGGCACAGAGCTACACCGAGGGTTAACTCCTTTGGGTCTGGACACGAAACAACTCCAGGCCACATCCCCCCAGTGGCTCCTCATTCCTTTCGGATCGCGCCGATTTCACCTTCTCCGTGTGGGGCTGCAGCCGCTGGGACCAGCCCTAAGGACGGGGAGAGAAGCTGGGGACGTGCCAGGCGCCCGAGATCAATATTGAGCTAATTAACAAGGCTGCTCGACAATTCCGTTCCATTCGTTAACGAAGTGAAATATAATAATAATAATAATAATAATAGAGGAGTAACTGATTTCTACCAGCCTGTCCCGATGTAAGCATTTGAAATCTTCCGTGGTTGCCAAGATCAAATGACTTTCCAACTGTCTGGCCGTGACCACATGAAACAGATCCTAATTCCTTTGCTGTACGTACATGTGCATCAGAGCCAGAGCGGCAACAGATCCTGCTCAGCCCCGTGCCCGCCTTTGCCCCGCCTGTCTCGGCTCCCTCCTTCTTGGTTAAATGCAGTAACAGTTAAAAACTCAGTTAGATAATAGTTAAATACTCAGTAAAATACCAGTTAAAACCTCCGTCAAACACTCAGTTAAATAACAGTTAAATACCCAGAGTCACGGCACAACCACCTAGGATGATTCAGAGCTTGGCCTCCGGAGGTTGTGAATATTTCAGCCTTTTCCAAAAAGTATGGCATAACTTCAAAGGTGGCTTTTGGGTTGGGTTTTGAGGTTTTTAGAGGTTGTTTGGTTTTTGGTGTTTTTGTTTTTTGGATTTTTTGGGGTTTGTTTTGTTTTGTTTTTTGGCGGGGGGGGGGGGGGCTGCGTGGGGGGGGGGGGGGGGAGGCTGCGGTAGAAGGTGGGGGTTAAAACAAAAACAGAAAGGAAAAATAATGCAAAGCTTCTATTTGTCGTTATTTGGGCGGAAAAGAGCAGATTGATCGGCTTCGCTTTAGAGTGTGTAACACCTTCGCTCATTCCCTTATCTCTTGGATTCTCCCAAATGCTGCTTTAGACCAAACACAGAAGGAGAAGAGCGGAGCATCCTGACAGAGCCGGTATCTCAAATGATACCCAGACCTGAGCTCCGCTTTAGTCATCCCCAGACACGCAAAACAAACCCTGCGGGTCACGATGCCCGTCTGGCCATAAAATGCAGAGCTAGGTTCCAAAAATATCTCCCGGTGGGATGGCGGGGGGTCTGTTTGGCAACTTCCCGTCTTTGGGAGAGCCGGGATGCGCGGCGGGGGCCGGATTTGTTTGTACCTTCAGCCCGGAGCTGGGCAAAGGGGTTTGGGGCTGTCGGGCTCAGGGGGTTTGAGTGTGTTGGGCTCAGGGGGTTTGAGGGTGTTTGGTTCAGGGGGTTTGAGAGTGTTTGGTTCAGGGGGTTTGAGGGTGTCGGGCTCAGGGCGATTTGGGGTTGTCGGGCTCAGGGGGTTTGAGGGTGTCGGGCTCCTCTCCCGGGCCCGTTTTCAGGTGGTTCCCCCCCCCTCTCCTGGATCCTCAGCTCCCCCACTTCGATCCCGTAGCCCCGACTGAAAGTGCCCTGTGAGTTCGGTGGGTGACAGAAGCTCTTTCCAGGGTTTTTTTTCCCCCTTCCTTTCGCGGCTGAGAACCTCAACCTGTCCTCTCCATCACCCCCACCCGCGTTGTTTGTCGGGGCCAGTGGGGAGCGTTGTCTAAAGAGGAAACCATTCGGGTTTTGGAAGGATGCGTTTCACTCTTCCCTTTAAGCTCTCGCTTTTCTGGGCGCTGCAGTCTCCTGCCGTGTGGGAACGCCGAGGGGGGAGCCGGGACCGGAGCACTGCCGGGGGGGGACAGGACAGAGGGCACAGAAAAGCAAGAGGAATGAGGAAAGCAAAGGGTTAAGGGTGATTTCTTTTAATTGAACTCCAGTTTTGTGGCCCTAGGCAAGGGGGGACCTGACCCCGCTAGCAGCATCCAGATGTGCTGCTCTCGGGGGACCCGGCGCAGCCCCCGGGAGCGCGGAGCAGACAGGAGAGGCCGGGGCCGCGGGGCGAGGGGAGGCGGCCGGGCTGGCCCTGCGCTCCCCCCTCACCTCCCGGCTGCAGGCGGCCTCAATCGCTGGCAAGCAGCGAGCCAAAAACCTCCAGGTCTGGTCACGTTCGGCCCCGTGTCTGCATCCGAACTGAAAAATTGTAGCTGAATTGATGAGGCTAATTTCAGAGGAGGGGGAGGGAGGGGAGGGAGGGGCAAGGGGGATCTGCGGCTCTCTCCTGCCAGCTTCGGGCTCGGAGAAATAAAGTATTAATAAAGCATCCCTGCCGCAGCCGGGGACAAACACTGGTGGCATTATTGCTTTTCCCCTTCGGAAGGAGCAGGGGCAGGATAACTTTGGATATAATTTTGCTTCCCCTCATCCCCTTCCCCGTGGCTGGACTAAAGACTGGGGGAAACAAAAAGCCTGGACACGACTGGCACTGGACAAGGTAACGCTCTCCGCCGACGGGCAGGGTGTTCTCCTGCCCTGGCACTTTTCCCTCTTGCCTTCGCCTCCTTTCCCTCGCTGCTCCGTGCCCGGTTTGTGGAAGTGGGGCCGGGGGGCCGCCCCGGCCGTTGCATGATGTGTTCCGCCGTGGTTATTTTGGCAAGGGCGGGGGAGCGGGGGAGCTGGACAGGCGGGTATTGTCTCACTTCCCCGGTCCTTTGGAAGGGTTCGGCTTTTCCCGGAAAAAGGAAAACGCGCGTTTCTCCCGTGCCGCTCGCTCCGGTTTGAATGAGGGAGGATCGCACGTCAGGGGCTCGCCAGGTCCAAGGGCTGCTGGCTGAGGGGGTTTGTTTGCTGTGCCCGTGAGGACACGGCACCGGAGCGGCACATTCGGCTGTTCTGATAGTTATTGTGAGGTTCTGACGTGTTTATCAAGTGGGGGTGTCCGCCCCGCTCGGAGGGGTTTCACATCTCCGCGAGGAGCTCGCACTGCCAGAGGAGGATGGGAAAGGGCTCCCGGCACCTGAAAGAAAGGACGGAAAACCATCCATGCTGGTGCTCTCCCTTCCCAGCCCCACATCCCAGCCCGCGAGACCAGTGGGAGCGAGGGAAGGGGCGAGAGTGGCCGAGAGCCTGGGCTTGCCCGCAGCCCCATCCGCAGGCTGGCTTAAATCCGTCTGTCTGTCCTGCATTATTGCACTCAGCGCTCGCTCCTGGCAGCGGCTGCACCCCAGGCTCACGCTCCGTGCTGGGAGGCGTGAAGGAGAGGGCTCGAAATATGCTTTAAATACGTTTTAATCGGCAGCCTTTTTCTTTTCTCCCTCCTCCTGCCGTCACCGAATTGCATTTACGGTTTTCTCCCCTTAATTTTTCCCGTTGACTGGAAAACGCATTAATAAAAAAATCTGTGGGAAGAGACGGAAATTCAGTGAGTCAGGCTAAAGCTGCTCCAGCCAAAAAAAAAAAAAAAAAAAAAAAAAAAAAAGGCAAAACTCCACGTTAAACGAAGCCGTGAGATGACACAGGCTGGCTAACACGGGCTGGGGTGCGAGGCAAGCTCTGCGCTGGCCGGGCTGTCCCAGCGACAAACAGGAGCTGTGACAGAGGTGGCTATTGTTCTGCCCCTTCTTATCTAAATGGAGCAAATATCCTGTATGTAAAATATATATATTTTCATCAAGAAGGCAGGACCAGCGTAGAGACGAAGGTTTCCTCCTCGAGTGACTTCACTTCCCAAAATTAGCAGAAAAAAACGTTTCATCCGGTTAACTGTCTCTTTTTCGCTCTGCTGCAAGAAGGAAAGTTAAAAAAAGAGAGAGACCGAGAGAGAGGGAGGGAGGGAGAGAGAGGGGGAGAGGGGGTACGGAGAGAGCAACAAAACCGCTGGAAGGGCAGCGAGAAGAGCGAAAAGAGAGAGAAGGATAAAAAACTTCAGGAGGCGTCAGTCGCAGGCTAAACCGGGTCAATGTGTGGAATATTGCTGGTGCCGGCTGGAAGTTATTCCCGATGGACGGCACTATTAAGGTAAGGGAGCAGGAGGGGCTGGGGGTCTCCTCGGGCTGGGGGGGCTCTGGAAGGGGCGCGGGGCTGGGGGCCGCCTCCGGCCGGGCTCTCTCCTCCTCCTCCTCCTCCTTCTCCTCCTCCTCTTTCGCCGCCGCCGCGTCTCGGGGCTCTCCCGTCGCCTCCCCGGTGCTCGGGGGTTCGCAGCCGGCTCGTAGCCCTGGGCCAGGGCCCGAGGAGGGCCGGGGAGGGCCCGGCTCGGGGGCAGTGCCAGCGGCAGCTGCTGGCCCCGGCGTGGCTCGGGGCTGCCCCGCTGTCCGTGCGTCCCTGGCCCTGGTCCCTCGCCCGGCCCTGGCCGAGGCGCTCTGGCTCTGGTGGTCGCCCGTGCTCCTCCAGCAGCTTTTTTGGTTTTTTTGGCGGGGAAAAAGCCCCGAGCTGGAGGAGAAACATCACCCTGGCTTGGGGGAAAGGGAAGCAGGGTGAGGCAAATAAACCACCAACATAACCAACCTCTGGTGGCCTTGAGCAACCAGGGACGCTGCTGGGCTGGGAGCAGTTCCCCCTCCTGCCCTCCGGCAGCTCCTTCAGCCCCTGCAAGGATAAACCGAGCCCTTCCGAGCTCCCGCAGGGCTTCTCCAAGCCGAGGCAGCACAGGGCTGGCTTTGGGGGACCCTTGTGTGACTGTGACGGGCTCTTGGGGAGCGCTGCGGAACAGAAGCCGCTCGAACAGAGGAGCCTTGAAGCGAGAGACGCTGTGGGTGTGTTTGGGTTGGAGGATTTCGAAAGATGCCTATCGCCTGCCTGGGTGGGGTGTCGAGCTCGGCTTAAAAGTGCCTTTTTTTTTTTTTTTTTTTTTTTTTTTTTTTTTTTTTTTTTTTTTTTGTTTTTTTTTTTTTTTTAAATTATTTTGCTGACCTGGGTAGAACGAAGCTGCAAACGGGCAGGAACTGAAACTGTCTCCCTTAGATTGCAGCTTGTGACAAGTGCACAGTTTGGAAAGGTCTCAAGAGAAGGGGGAGGGAAGGAGATGGACAGGAAGAGAAAATGGAAAGAGGAAAGAAAGAGGGAATGAAAGGGTGAATGTCAGAAAGGAAGGGAGAAAGCAAGAGTGTTGAAAGCAGAATATTTGGGAGGTATGGCTGGAATAAGACAGGTTTCCCCTTCCACCTCCTCAGATCTGTAGCAAAAGTAACCTGGGCCTCATTCAGGATACATTTAATGCACCACAACTTTCTTTGATTTGTGGAGCCCTAAATATTGTGCAGTGAAAGTGCAGAAATTCCCCATCTGTGCCTTCGCTGTGGTGCACACGTGGACCTGCTTTTCTGCACAGGCCATGAGTCCACTGCTCCATCCCTGAGCAGAGCTGGGCTGTCCCCTCTCCCCTGGAGCTCCCGTCCCCGCTGCCCTGAGCTCTCCCCCCAGCTGCGGTTTGGGGATGAGGAACTGCCGTGCTCCGAGCTGGGCTCAGTCACGCTGGAGGCTGCGGCCAAAGGAGGAACTCGGCCACAGCCCAGGTCACTGCCCGGGGCTGGGCTGCCCTGGGGCTGCTCTGCAGCCTCTGCACTGCCCTGCTGCCCTGCCACCCTGCTAGGGCAGGAACCTGACACTCTTGGGGCTGGGAGACACAGGATCCAGAGGCAGGATGCAGAGACGGGATCCAGAGGCAGGATCCAGAGGCAGGATGCAGAGACAGGATCCAGAGATGGGATCCAGAGACGGGATCCAGAGACAGGATCCAGAGGCAGGATCCAGAGATGGGATCCAGAGACAGGATTCAGACACAGGATCTCCTCCTGGTCTCCTTTACCAAGCCATTCCAGGATCAGTAGGTCCCCATGTCCTGTTTGTCCCCTCTGCCAATGTACCCTCTTTCTGTGCTCCTGTCCTGCCCAAAGGATTAGCTGAGACTTCTTGCAAATTCTCATGCTGGGCAGAAAACTGGGTTGGAGGCAGTGCCAGCCTCCCACACAGAGAGACAGGCTGCAGGGAAGGTGAGACCCCCTTGCCTGGCTTCTCACAGGTGAAGGGCAGCACAAGAGGATGTGGCTTGAGATGCTGCAATGCTTTTGGTGTGCTGAGCTCTGTCTTTAACCTGTGCTGCAGAGTGGGTGTGACTCTGAGGGCACATCCAGAGCAAAGCAATTTAACAGCAATTGTGCCCTCAGATCTGCTCTGCCATGCAAGCATTGATTTATCTCAGAGCTCTGCATTTGTCTTAGGAAAAATATGGCAGAAAGATGGACATCAGTGACTGGAGAGCAAGAAAAACAGAGAAAGGTTCTTTCATCATCTACAGCAAGAACACGGGGCGGTCCCAGATGAAATCTGAGTTCCGGCGTGGGGAAAGGCGCTTCCCACCCCAAACTCAGAAATAGTCCTGTCCTTGGAGAGGACAACTGCTAGATTTGGGATAGGGCTGTGCCCTCCAGATGATTTTCTTCTTGAGCAATTTAAATTTGACAAGTGGCTGTTTTTTAAGCCTATGCAATGCTATTGCACAGACAAATTGTTTTAATTGAGCTGGAACCTTTGACTGCAGGCTGGCAGATGCAGGGGTTTGGGTCCGGCCTACTTTGCAAATCTCTCCCTTTGCCTGCAGTCTCCAATATTTGGCTTTGTCTTAGGTTGCATTACCAAGAAAGGCTTGTATTTTCCTCTTCATCTTTTTATCAGAAAGGATCTTGATGACTCTCTGACTGCTGGTTTTACCTCCCTAGAGTAATTTACCTGCACACCTGCCCAGCTGCAGGTGAAGGGATGAATCCACTGGAGCCTTGAGCTGTCCCAAGGGCTCAGAACCAGGCTGGGGAACAGGGCATGGGCAGAGAATAAATGTGGTTGGGATGATCCTTGTAGACATGGATCCCATGTGGACATTGTGTGCAAGTGTGAATTGAGCTGTCCTCAGGCTTTCAACCCAAGCAGGGAATTCCATGGATAGAAACATAAACCACAGGATCAGCTTGGTATTTAAAGCCATCATTCCCCACCATGCAATGACTGACATCGCATGTGACAGTGCTGAGCCAATGCACCACAAAAACGAACACATTTGTATTTATTCACTACGGATTATTTATCCTGAGGAGAATCAGATCATCTGCTGAGGAGGTTGGTGGCAGTTTTTGCTGCATTCTCTAAATAATCTGTGTAATACCTGCTGTGAGCAGAACTGGCTGGTTTGGGAAGTGCCCCCTGCAGCAATGCTCAAAGAGCTCTGTGGAGGAAGAAGTGCAGGAAATCTGAGTTATTTCCACTTCTGTTCATATTCTGCCAATAGCACTGGCAGATGATGATTGGAGCCAGTGAAACTCCTAACTCTTGTGTTTGCACTAATTTTAAATAGTCACCAACATTTTTATTGTGCCTCTAGACATTCAAATCCCATCTTCTTTGGGTTAACACCCGCTTTGACTGGCTCGCATTGTGTTTGAGGGACTGGGGTTTCATTGCCACACAATAAATCAGAAAAGGGCACATCTCATCAACAGCATGATGCTCATGCATGGCCTTGCTCACAACAACAAATGCTGTGGTTTCGAGCTGCTTTAATTGTTTCAGTTCCACTTTATGTGTGGAGAATAATTAAAGCAAATATACTGGCCAGAGCCTGCCTGTTCATGAAAAAGCACATTTTGTGTGGCTCTTGCCTTCATTCCTGGAAAATAAAATTATCCTGATGTTGTGGCCATCAGAGAGCCCCTCTGAGGGATGTTCAGTGAGGTTTTTGCATTATTTAAGTGGAGGACAGCCGTGTCCTTGAATGGAGGACTGGTGTGTTGGCGTTGCCATAGCAAAGGGTGGGGCCGGGTTTTGGAGCAATCACTGTCGCTTGTGAGCTGGAGGCGTTTGCTCTCGCTCTCAAACTTGGCCGTGGGGATCTCAGACTAAGAAAACGTTTCCTTTTTGAGCAATTTTCGTGTCTGTTTGGCTCCTTTTAATCGCCCCGGCTTTGGCCCCAGAGGGATGGCCTTTCCTGGCTAAAGGGTGTTGACTCCTGGGGCAAGGCTCCTAATCTCCACATTGGAAAAATAATAAATAAATCACAAAGATTTGAGGGACAACAACTTTCCATGTTGCTGTCCCTCAAAAGCAATTTGGAACAAAACCATCTGGAATTTCCAGGGCATGAACAGCAATATTCCCTCCTACCCTAATCCTCATTCAAAGTTGTTTATGTTGCATAATAACTTTCCTACATCAAAAACCATTTAGAAAGATTTTGCGATGGGGATATTTTGATGGTAATATTTTGGGAATATTTTTTGATGGGGATATTTTGAATTTTCCCTTTGAGATCTGTGTGCAAAGGACATCTCCTGCCATAGCGTGAACCTCCAGCCCCGGTGTCCTGCTGGGTGTTGCCAGCTCACAGTGCTCAGTGCTGACTTCCAGTTGCCAGCAAACACTGGGAAAGCCTTTTCCAAGGCTGTAGTGGTTTTTTTCCTGCTCAGAAAAGGATGATTTCTCTGAAGAAAACCTTTACCCAACAAAACAATGCAACTGCTTGGATTTGAAGTCCTTGGGGTTTTGCTGTGAGGCTTTGAGGAGGTGCTGAGAGCCTGGTGTAGTTTCTCTTCACCTCCACAGGATGTGGTCACTCAAAGGAGTAGCAATGTGTGTCTTGAGGATTTCAAGCTTTTATTTGAGTTATTGATTTTAATTCTGGGCTGTTCCTTCTGTGAGATGAGGGAAGGAACAGCCTCTGTCTCTGCTCACAGCATTTCTTGCCCTGCAGTTCTGTGGGGTGCAGGATGCTGCTCCTTGCAGGGTCACCATCAGAAGCAGCACAGGGGAGGCTGCACCTCAGCGTGAGCTCTCAGATGACACCCTGAGAGGTGAGATGTGCTGGGGGAAGGGCACGTGGAGCAAGGTTTGCAGGCAGCAGAGTTTATTTCCTCCAGGTCTGCCCTTCCTGGACTTACGGGAGCATTTTCCTCTTGAGTTCAGCTCCCATCTGCTCTGAAGGGTTAGGTCTGGAACACATGAATGTATAGCCTCAGTACAGAGCACCTCCCTGC